ATCCTTATTATTCCAGTCAACCCAGCTGTAAATGGGTACAGATAATCCAGGAAAGATCAGTACCAAGTGGTTGGTTAAGGACCAGCTGATAGACAGGATCATCATGAACTAAAGTTATTATCCTTGTAAAATATAGTTGTTTCTCTCTTTCTTATCGATTCTCCCCAATTTCTAAGATCTCAACAGTAAAACTGTCTTCAAATGAATTTTATGGCCAATGATCAAAGATTTCTTCAGCCAAAAACAGAGTTCAGTTATCTTAGAACATACTCTGTTTTATCCAGGCTAATTTGTACTGGTGTGAAATAATGAATCACTTTTGGTGCTTGTTATCAGCATTCTGACCATTCTGTTGGTATAAATACCTTGTTTCAGAGATAACAAACAAATAACTGACCCATTCTTTATTTATTGCTTGAGTTTAACCAAATGAAATGAAATGGAGTTTTACGTCCTACTTTTCAGCACCATGTGGGCTAATGAAGACGGCCAACGCCATGCAGGGTGCGATGAAGGAAATTTTGCCAGGACAGCGGCATTAGCCTGCTCTTTTTCGATTTCCAACTGTCGAGGGATCTTTCACGTGCACAGTCTGTAGCACACTGGGCCTCGGTTTATTGTCCCATCTGAACGACTAGACTCCTTTTCCATGTCAGTCCCTCTTACCTGCATCACTGACAGGGGAAACCAGGTTGAAAAATCCGAAGGTATTATCCCGAGCTATGTGAGAATTTAGTTTAATGAAATGAAATATTTTGTTTCAGAGATAATAACAATTAATTATGTTAGCAATTAAACTCGAATGAGTTCAATTCAAAATGGCCGCCAGTCAATCAATACTGGATAACAAAGACACAATAGTACTTGTTATAAACATTACTAGTTGACACCTGTCGTTATACGGTCAATAACTTCATCTGAGTACCTATATATAGTCATTAGTATACTAATACCACAATAGTTATCATATATATAGTCAATAGTATACATCTACTAATACTTCAACTGTTGTTATATAACTGGGCAGGAGGGAATGTTGGGGTAGCTCTTTTAAACTATGTAAGCTATAGGCAATGCACCTTTAATCATATACAAGCAATTGATGTATGATATATATTGTTGTATGATAAAGAGTGGTACAATTAGAATCTTGCAACAGGCAATGCCCCTTTACTCCATTACCAGTTTAGCAATAGGCAATGCCCCTTTAATCATATACAAGAAATTGATGTATGATATATATTGATGTATGATAAAGAGTTGTACAACTAGAATCCTTATGTACCTAATAATGTGTTCATGGGGTTTGCTCCTTTAATGTCCTGTAATTGGCAATGCCCCTTTGCTTCATGACCAGTTTAGCAATAGGCAATGCACCTTTAATCATATACAAGCAATTGATGTATGATATATATTGTTGTTGTATGATAAAGAGTTGTACAACTAGAATGACTGTTTGGTATGATAATTAGAATGTTTATGTACCAAATAGCCTTGGGTTTGCTCCTTTAAACTAGTTTAACAATAGGCAATGCCCCTTTAATCATATACAAGCAATTGATGTATGATATATATTGTTGTTGTATGATAAAGAGTTGTACAACTAGAATGACTGTTTGGTATGATAATTAGAATGTTTATGTACCAAATAGCCTTGGGTTTGCTCCTTTAAACTAGTTTAGCAATAGGCAATGCACCTTTAACTATATACAAGCAATTGATGTATGATATATATTGTTGTATGATAAAGAGTTGTACAACTAGAATGACTGTTTGGTATGATAATTAGAATGTTTATGTACCAAATAGCCTGGTTAACTGGACATAAATAAATAATAATTAGGCTGATAATAGAGTGTTTATTTTTCACTAATACAGCTGTTAAATACTGGTCTGTTATCCATCTGTTTGTGGTGCTGCATACACATGCCTGTTACATTAGCCCCATTGGCAACAGCACAGAAGCCTTTGAATTAAATTTCACAATTTCACATTTTTCTACCATGTTTCACTTTAAAAGATAAACCTCATATTTGATGTAATTGGTATTCTGGATGTCACATGATCCAGTCAACCCAGCTGTAAATGGGTACAGATAATCCAGGAAAGATCAATGCCAAGAGGTTTGGTCAAGGACCAGCTGGTAGAAAGGATCCTCATTATTCCAGTCAACCCAGCTGTAAATGGGTACAAATAATCTAGGAAAGATCGATGCCAAGAGGTTTGACCAAGGACCAGCTGGCAGAAAGGATCCTCATTATTCCAGTCAACCCAGCTGTAAATGGGTACAAATAATCCAGGAAAGATCAATACCAAGAGGTTTGACCAAGGATCAGCTGGTAGACAGGATCCTCATTATTCCAGTCAACCCAGCTGTAAATGGGTACAAATAATCTAGGAAAGATCGATGCCAAGAGGTTTGACCAAGGACCAGCTGGCAGAAAGGATCCTCATTATTCCAGTCAACCCAGCTGTAAATGGGTACAAATAATCCAGGAAAGATCAATACCAAGAGGTTTGACCAAGGATCAGCTGGTAGAAAGGATCCTCATTATTCCAGTCAACCCAGCTGTAAATGGGTACAGATAATCAAGGAAAGATCAATACCAAGAGGTTTGACCAAGGATCAGCTGGTAGAAAGGATCCTCATTATTCCAGTCAACCCAGCTGTAAATGGGTACAAATAATCCAGGAAAGATCAATACCAAGAGGTTTGACCAAGGATCAGCTGGTAGAAAGGATCCTCATTATTCCAGTCAACCCAGCTGTAAATGGGTACAAATAATCCAGGAAAGATCAATACCAAGAGGTTTGACCAAGGATCAGCTGGTAGAAAGGATCCTCATTATTCCAGTCAACCCAGCTGTAAATGGGTACAAATAATCCAGAAAGT